AGATTTATGCGAAACAATCAAATTTCAACGATAACAACAATTGGAATAACAATAATGATAGCAGCACTCATAACAAAATTCCAAAATCTTATTAATCCTTATTAAGAATCACCTCCAATATGCCTTAATAAAAGGGGGAACTATTGGAAAACAATTGAAAACTAATAAAATTTTCAGCAGTGATAACGATAAATATTCATTTATTAAGAAAACAACAACAGCAACAATCGAAATAACAATAGCAATAACAATAACAGTAACAAGAAGCCAAATTAACAAAATTAATTCACCAAACAACAAAACATTTATATACTTCTATTTCAAATGTTCCAAAATTATTTATTCTCGTCCCAAATTTGCATCTTCCAAAAGACATTCTTTCGAATTAATGGTGCTATCATTTCACTACCTGAAAAGATCAACCATTCACGAGTGTATTTTCTGATATACCAATGAAAAATATTTTATGACAGATTAAAAATAAGATGACCTCATCAGACTAGAACACTGACAATAATACAAAAACGATAAACTTACTCAAATTTATCCGCTGCGGCATCAAATTTTCATTGTCCGTTGGCAATAACACACATCCGTTCACATCTCGATACTTCAAACAAATCAATTAATCCAAAATCATTACTCGACTCTGATTAAATCAAATCTTTCAAATATTCCACATAACTCTAAAATAACAACGCATCAATGGATAAAAACACCAAATAACACACCATTTCACGAATCGGTCCAGTTATTATATGTGCTTCCAAGTAAGATGGCCATATCGTCGTCATGTTTCGATCCACCGAACTGATCAATGATGCAAATTCCAGTTGCAGTTCATTCGACTCTTCAATTTTATCCACAACGAACAACGCTCTTATCAAACCTTTAACCTCTTCTGAAATCGCATCTTTGTTACTGTCAGTAGAATTGCTATCATATTATTCTTATCACAACTACTCAACTCTACTGTCCCACTACAATTCAATGCCTTATTACAACTTCTACTCGTATAACCCACTTCCATCTCAATAAAATAATCCACAACTGTCCAACAAAAACAGAACCATCAAATAAAAAAGCAATACCTTGATGTTTATCAACCACAGAAACGATATTCTTCAAAGCGTTCAACAAGCCCGCATCTTCATACGCACTTCCTTTTGTCAATGTTAACTTTTTCCTAAAAACAAAATATAATCATCACTATTATCATTCGCACCATTATTGAGGCCAGGCCGCAAATCGAACGTATGATCACTATCATAAGCACCATTTCTATCATAATCCATCACTCATAATCCAGAAACAATCACCATATCACAATCACACTAACTTAATTTATTAAACAAAATCAATTCAAAGCAAACACCAACTCACTTTTGAATTCGCTTCTCACGACGAACCGTTGT